CGTGAACCACGGGAGGATGCAGCTCGGCGGAGCCCGGCGTGCTGCCAGACCTGGCTCGGGGGAGTGCTTGGCCATGACGTGCCAGCGAACCCGGTGCCGGGAAGAGCCGTGTCTCCTGGCTCCCTGCATCAGCTGGAGACGGGTCAGGACATGACCTGCTGTGCCAGAGCCAGCGGCATGGAGCATCTTCCCAACTGTGGCACTCATGGTAGCCCCGCATCTCCCTGCGTTACACGGGGATGTTGGGTTAGGTGTGAAGAGGTCCCAACACAGGAATAGCCCAGAGGATGCTCCGGCTGCACTGGAACATGGCCCCATTGTGAAAATTCCCATCTTGCAAAAGCCCAAATGGGTGGTCTGACCGTAATCTGTGTGAGATAAATAAGATCCCAGATGAAAGGGAGTCTGATGGAAGGGCTGGGAGCTGAACGTGTTGTCTTTGCAGGCTGGCCCCCATGACGTGAGGGGTTTGGGGTCACAGAGCTGCTGGCCAAGCCCCTGCTGTGCTCTGGGTGTGTGGCTGGCTGGGACACTGAGCAAGTCTGCAAAATTAGCTTTGTTTTCCAAAGATGTTAATTTTGAGCGGCAATTTCCTATGGAAAAAATGTGGTTCCTATTCTGTGTGCCTGTCCCTCCACCCCAGCCTTGGAACCTGCTCCCAAATTCCTGAAGAATCTGAACCAGGTCTGGTGAGCTCATGGACCATGAGGAGAAGCTGATGGACCCAGGAGATCTTCCTTCATCAGCCGTGACACTGAGCACACTGGGAACGGCTCTCTGTCTCTTCTAGCGCTCATGGCATGCTGTCCCTCCTTGTCCCTGCAGCTGGTGGCACCAGAGATGAGCACTGTGTGTTGGTGGCAGCCGTGTCCCCAAGTGCTGTGCATCCCAGGGGGTCTTGTCTCTTGGCACTTCTGTTCTCCTGGTGCAGAGGCTCTGTCCCAGGGCTGTGGGGACTGACCCAGCTTGATGACGCTGAGGTTGGTTTCGGGAGGCAGCAGTGGCAGAGGGCATCTGCATTTCCAGCCAGTCCCTGGGCTGATGGAAGGCAGGGGGGTCTCCAGCCATCCCAGCTCTTGGTTCTTTCTCCCCTGAGTTTTGCCGCTCTTGGAGGGGCTGCAGATGGTGGGGGTACAAAGTGCTCTGTCTCCAGATGGATCGGAGGGGCTTGCTGTGGGTGGGAGCCTACCACTGTCCCGGAGCTGGGAGCTGCTTTGTGCTGGGGGGTTCTCCCTCTGTCCCACGGGATCCTGCCGCCGTGGGGCCGGCAGGAAGGGGCCCTTATCTCACGCCTGCAGGCTGGGGCACGGAGGTGGCAGAGGAAGGGGCCGGGTGGGAGCCGGGGGCCGGGCGCAGCAGTCGGCCCTTTCCATCCGGTTGGAGCGGTGAAGACGGAGGAGCCATTTGCCAAAGAAAACTCCAGCCCTGACAATTGCTGTTATTCTTAACACCAGAGCTGTGTTTGTGCTGCTTTGTCCTGCACTGGGGCTCTGGGGCACAGCAGCCCCTGTGCATGAGGCTGTGGCCCTGGCCGTGCAGGACACAACCGTGACATGGCCCTGTGGTGGCACTGGACAGGATGCGGCCCTGGCAGCAGCAGCTCAAGGTGGGGACAGTGCTTGCAGCGCCCATTGGTGTGGGGCCATGGGGTGCAGATGGTTCCTTCGGCAACCCTGGGTGTTCCAGGCAAGGCCAGCTTCCAGCAGGGAAGGGACAGTGCTGAAGTGATGCTCCTGCCCAAAACACCTCGCTAGGGAGGGGAGAGAAAAGCTGAGCAGTAACGTCCGTTGCAAGGGTGATACTGCAGTGGCCAGGGCAGTGCTCGGCTGGTGCAGCACATTGTTGACACCAGCCTTGGGGCTGCGCTTATGGATGTGGTTGGGAACAAAGGACCTCATCACAGGGGACCTCCCAGGAATGCATCCCAGTGCTTGGCTGTGTCCACCCGTGAGGAGCAGGGAGGCACTGGGTGCAGTGATGGATGGAGGCTGGATGGTGCCGTCTTTCTCTCCCCGCAGTGAATCCCTGCTGCTACTTCCCCTGCCAGCACCAAGGGGTGTGCGTGAGGGTCGGCCTGGGAGGGTACGAGTGCGACTGCACGCGGACGGGATACTTCGGGGACAACTGCACCTCCCGTAAGTCCCTCTTGCCCAGAGGAGCCCTGGCACCCATGGGTCCCAGAGTGGCGCATTGTGCCTGCAGCACCGGGCCTTTAGTGGCATCATTAGTGGGGTGAGTGATTTGCCTGGTCTGTCCCCCCCAGCTGAGCTCTGGACGCGCCTCCGCAACCTGCTGAAGCCCAGTCCTGCCTTCTACCACTTCATCCTGACCCCAAGCTGTGTTGGGATATCATCAACAGCACCTGCATCAGGGACCTGCTCATGAGGCTCGTGCTCACAGGTGAGCGGTTGGAGCAGGTCTTGGGGTGCAGCAGGACTTGGGGACCCCTTGGGCATCAGCAGAGGTGTGGTAGGGGTGGTGCGGATGCTGAGTGGCTCCCACGGGCACGGTGGGCACTGGGCTTGAGTCACCTCATTGGGAGACCCAGGGAGCTTGTCACCCATCACTCCATCCCCCTGTCACACCATCACCCTGCCCGTGGGGTGCAGGGGCTCTGCACGCTGGGCTGTCTGCGTGTCCCCATCCACGCCGGGCTTCCAGCCTGCTGGAAAACATGAGGAGCTCTTGGCACGCCATCCTCCTGGGGCCAAAGGCCTCTTACGCAGCCGCTCGGAAAGCAAACTGCGGAAATACAGCCCTTATTATTCATGTCCCCACATTCATAAATATTTAGGTTCCAGCTCTTGGAGCTGTAGCAACACGTTCACAAGGCTCCGGCTGTTGGTTTTACCATTTGTGTGTGGTTGTCATCCAGGAATCCACTTAATGCGTTAGGACAGGCTTTCCTCTTCTGCAAGGGAACTGCAGCCTTTAAAAGGCTCGGAGCAAAGCCTGGGATACCCACATGCCTCCACTGCTGGTACCTTTCTGGGCTGTCAGGGGAGGGTGTCTGGAAGCACTGGGCTGGTGGGCAGGGGCTGGGGGCAGAGCCTATGGGGTGCTGCCGCCTGTGACTCCCTCCTCTCTTTTCAGTTCGTGCCAATCTCATCCCCAGTCCCCCCACCTTTAACTCTGACTATGGCTACATCAGCTGGGAGGCCTATGCCAACGTCAGCTACTACACCCGCATCCTCCCGCCCGTGCCAGAAGACTGCCCAGCGCCCATGGGGACCAAAGGTATGTGGTTGGCCCAGCACCAATGGGGCTGAGTTGCTGGAGTAGCACCATGGGTCCATACCTGGTGCAGCATCGGTGTTTCCCATCCACCCATCCCAAGCTTTCACTGCTATGGATACACCTACAGGGCACTGCTGGCAGTGCCACACGCTCCCTCTGTTCTGCTCAAGCTGGCCCGCAGGCAGGAGCTGCTTCATGGTATCCAGAAAGCTGCTGGGACAGCTCAGGTTGAGCTGCTGAGGCGTGTTGTAGCATGTGTAAGAGGGCTGTAAGAAGTCTGTGCAGAGGAACCAGTGCCTGATGCTGCAGCAGACACAGCAGCCCCCACCAGCAGCCCCATGGCCAGCACTGGTACCCAGCTGGGTCAGCACAGGAGCATCTGCTCTCAACCTACATCCTTTGCAGGGAAGCAGCAGCTCCCTGACCCCCAGCTCCTGGCAGAGAGGTTCTTGCTACGGCGGAGGTTTGAAGCTGATCCTCAAGGCACCAACCTGATGTTTGCCTTCTTCGCCCAGCATTTTACCCACCAGTTCTTCAAGACATCTGGGAAGATGGGACGCGGCTTCACCAAGGCGCTGGGGCACGGGGTAAGGGATGCTGGAATGCTTGGAGGCATGGGGCATACAGCAGTGAGGAGGGGACCAGGGCATGCATGGCCTTTGGAGCAGCCTTGATGCCGTGCTATCTTGGCAGGTGGACCTCGGGCACTTGTATGGGGACAACCTGTCGCGGCAACACCAGCTGCGTCTCTTCAGGGATGGGAAGCTGAAATTCCAGGTACCACCCAGCACAACCAAAACGTGTTTCAGCCCTGTGATCCAGAGCTATTTCAAGCCACATCCCTCTGGCAGCTCCAGAGAAGCCCCAGCCCCATGTGGCTGCTGGCCAAAGGTGCTTTATCAGAAGGACAAGCATTGGGGTGTAGCTGTTCTGACGGCAGCAGGCATTCCATAGTTGGGGCTGTATGAGGGATGTGTTTCTGTTCCGTTCACTGCTTGCAGGAGAACAGCCCTGTTGCCTGTAGGGCCTGGCTGGACAGGCTTTCACCCAGGTGGTTTTCTCCCCTCCTCTCTTTCTGCTATCTCATTCTTGTCTCCCCAAGGTGGTGGATGGAGAGGTGTACCCCCCCACCGTCACCGATGCCCCGGTTCACATGGTCTACCCACCTACTGTCCCCAAGGAGAAGCAGCTGGCGATAGGGCAGGAGGTGTTCGGGCTGCTGCCGGGGCTCTGCATGTACGCCACACTCTGGCTGCGTGAGCACAACCGTGTCTGTGACATACTGAAACGGGAGCATCCCACCTGGAGCGATGAGCAGCTCTTCCAGACAGCTCGTCTCATCCTCATCGGTGAGGACCAGCAGAGCTGCAGGGCATGGGCACCACAGAGCCCCGTGTCCCACCTCCCTGCATGTTGTGGTTTAAGGCCAGCCGGTAACTCAGAACCACGCGGCCGCTCACTCACTCCCTTCCTTCCTTCTTCCCTCCCCACTCACAGAGGGATGGGGAGGAGAATGGAAAGAATGTAAATCCTACAGGTTGAGATAAGAGCCACTGAGTGTAATACAAAACCATAACTGAGTAGCTAAGGTATAACACAAAACCACTCTGCTACCACCAATGATAATGATGATAAGGGAAATAACAAGGGGAGAGGATACAATTGCTTACCACCCATCAACCAATGCCCAGCCCAACCTGATCAGCAATCTCAGCCTTCCGGCTGACTCCCCCCAGTTTCTATACCGGGCATGACGTGCTGTGGTATGGAATAGCCCTTTGGCCAGTTAGGGACAGGGATCCTGTCTCTACTTCCTCCCGGCTTCCCCTCCTCCCTGGCAGAGCATGAGACTGAAAAGCCCTTGATCAGAGTGAGCACTACTGAGCAACAACTAAACCAGGTGTGTTAACAGTGTTGTTCTCAGGCTAAAGCTGAAAACACAGCACTGCACCAGCTACTGAGAAGGAGAAAAATAACTGCTAGAGCTGAACCCAGGACACTGGGCAAGCCCCAACGACTCGGGCACTGGTTGGTCTCTGTTTTGGGGTGGTGACCAGGCTGGCTTTAGATGCTGGAGGAGTTTCTTTGGCAGCCTTCCGGGGATCATTGGCTTTGGTCCATAGCGCAGAGATGGGCTTTAAGCCATCAAAAATATTAATTTTGAATTATTGCATTTTAATGTTCATCCTGAATTTACTATAATCTCATAAAAAGTCATTTTTGACCAGAATCCAGACAAATCCCTGTCATCACATTATCTGCGAGAAGCGTGTCAAGGTCAGCTTCCTCAGGAACCATTTAGGGTTTGGCAGACTGACCTCTGCTGCTTAAAAAGTGATTCACTGACAAATTCCCAACCAACAAAACAAGCCCATAGTCAGAAAGGTCCCAGGGGGTGGATGAGTGCTGGGAGGTGCTTCCATAGCACGTGGGTAACGGCTCGGGGTACAGAGCTCCTGCTGCTGACAGCCGCTTCTTCTGCCTCCTACCCAGGAGAGACCATTAAGATCATCATTGAAGACTATGTCCAGCATCTCAGTGGGTACTACCTGAGCCTCAAGTTTGACCCCGAGCTGCTCTTTGGGACACAGTTCCAGTACCGGAATCGCATCGCAGTGGAATTCAACCAGCTCTATCACTGGCACGGGTTGATGCCTGACTCCTTCGTCATCCAGGGGGAAGAGTACAGCTACGAGCAGTTCCTCTACAACACCTCCATGCTGCTGGACTATGGCGTGGAGGCATTGGTGGAGTCCTTTTCCAAGCAAATTGCAGGAAGGGTAAGGTCTTCTCTCCCCTTCTTGCCAGTGCCATGGAACCACAGGAACATCCCCGTTCCCACTCAGCAGTGGGTCATATCTCACACGTACAGTCTTCTACTCAGGGCAGCACCTGATGGGCAGGCCATGGGTCCTCCCACATGCACTATGGCAAGGCTGGGCCTTGGCAGCCCCATTTGCTTTGCTCTCAGGACTCTGTAGTAAACTTCACGGTGATGCCAGGAGCCTGCGGTAACCTGGGATCTTCCAGCGCAGACCAGGCTGCGGAGCAGCACGTCTGGCACTGTTCTTTGCTGCCATCACATGGATGCTTTCCTCCAAGTGATTACATCTACATGCCTGACCCTCTTTGCTTCTGCAAAGTAGCAAGGCTGAGGTGCAGACCTGCTGTTGTTGGGTGTTTGGGTTGTCCCAAACCCCTGTAAATCTCCCCCCTCCTCTCAGGCCAGTGGGCCACCACCCTTCTGGGGCTTCTCCCGGACCATTCTCTGACCTGCCCTAGGAAAAGGACTGAAGAGCCCAGGCTGCTCTACAGCTGTGTTCTGGCACTGTCCAGTGATTCCCCCTCTTGGTGCTGCTCTCCAACAGCACGTCCAGGACATGAATGCTTTAATGCAGTAGCTCTGGAATGGATGCTGGTGCTGCCTGTGCCTCACGTGTGCTCCTCCTTGTGTTCTCACCCTCCAGATCGGTGGGGGACAAACTATCAATGCCAATGTCTTGAAAGTGGCCGTTGGGGTCATCAAGGAATCCCGGCAGCTGCGGGGTTTAGAGGTTTGGCATGAAGCCCTACAAGTCCTTTCAGGAGCTCACAGGTAGGGCTGCAGTGCTGCTGTGGGAGCTCTTGGGGTTCACTGGGGCAGTGCAGATGCTCTGTGCCCACAGTGTGGTATTAAGACCATGAGCTGCTCCTTTGGGAGCTGGCTGGGTTGCGGGAGCTGCCATGTTCCCATTATCCACAGCAAGGCCAGTCCTTGCCCGGGGTGATTCCCTTGCTAAAGCACTCTGATGTTCACTTGGTGCAGGAGAGGAAGAGAAAGCGGCAGAACTGGAAGAGCTGTATGGAGACATTGACGCTCTGGAGTTCTATCCAGGCTTGCTGCTTGAGAAACCCCAACCCAATGGTATTTTTGGGGAAAGCATGGTGGAGATTGGAGCTCCATTTTCCCTGAAGGGGCTTCTTGGAAACCCAATCTGCTCCCCAGAGTACTGGAAACCCAGTACATTTGGCGGAGCAACTGGCTTTGAGATAGTTAAGACAGCATCGCTCAAGAAACTCGTGTGCCTCAACGTGAAGAAGTGCCCCTACGTTTCCTTTCGTGTGCCAGATGCTGTGGAAAGTGGCAGCCCTCAGGACGGTGGACATTCTACTGAGCTCTAGCACCAGCACAGCCTGCCCAGGTACTGGCAAAGCTGAGCTCCAGGCCTGGCGCTGAACATCCCATTCCTTCCTGCACGTAGTGGGGATGCCCACCACTGTGCGGAGAAGCAGCAGGACAGAAGATGGTCCCATCCTGGGCATCCTCCACACCAGCCCTCTGGAAGAGGCTTGTACCAGCTCTGTGAGAACCCTGAGTGCCTCAGGAGTTGTCCTGCGTTCAGCTCTAGCAGTTATTTTTCTCCTTCTCAGTAGCTGGTGCAGTGCTGTGTTTTCAGCTTCAGCCTGGGAACAACGCTGATAACACCCATGTTTTTAGTTGTTGCTCACTAATGCTTACTCTGACCAAGGACTTTCTCAGTCTCATGCTCTGCCAGGGAGGAGGGGAAGCCGGGAGGAAGCAGAGGCAGGACACCTGACCCAAACTGGCCAAAGGGCTATTCCACACCACAGCACGTCATGCCCAGGATAGAAACTGGGGGGAGCCACCCAGAAGGCCCAGCTCGCTGCTTGGGTCAAGCTGGGTATCAGTCAGTGGGTGGTGAGCAATTGTATTGTGCATCACTTGTGTTTATTGGTTTCTTTTCCTTTCCCTTTTAGTTTTATATTCTCTCCCCTTGTTATTTCCCTTATCATTATTCTTCTTGGTTGTAGCAGTAGTATTAGTTTTGCATTATGCCTTAGAAGTAGTGGTTTTGTACTATACCTTAGCTAGGAGTAGTGGTTCTGTATTATACCTTAGTAGTACTAAGT